TCCCTGAGGAAGAATCTGAAGTGGGAAGAAAACAAGTCCAAGGAAAGCAGGAAGTAGAGCCAAAACATCCAGAACTTAACTGGAGATGATGACCAATCTGGATGTGTAGATCTGCTGGTCCATCAACTCTCCAATCGTCTTGTTGATGAAGAATCAGCAGAGAAATGTTTCCTCCATTAATCTGTTAATGTGATCTTTGAAAATGTATTCAGTCTGTAAAACCAATGTTGGTTTAGATTTTTGATTTTGATGATGAAAGCAGAGAGTTTAATAAATAAGATTTCAAATAAGATCATTAGAAACTCGTCCAGAAGGGAACTCATCTTCGGGTTTCCTCTTTGTTTTTAGGGTTAAACATTGGTCCAGATACAATCTGTTTTCTCCTCCATGTAGATTCTGACGCATTCAAATGTTATTTTTTTTGTGTTCAGCAGAAACGTAAAGGGAAAGCGGGGTCAAAGGGTCACCGCTGTCCACTGTGTAGTAAAACCTTCCAGTCAGCTGTGAGGCTGAAGGTCCACCAGATCGTCCACAGTGAGGAGAGACCACACATCTGCGGCGACTGCGGCGCCTCCTTCAAGGTGTTAAACTCCCTGAAGCTCCATTGGCGGATTCACACCGGAGAGAAACCATACAGCTGTGTGGAGTGCGGAGCGTCCTTCTCCGTGTCCAGCAGTCTGAAGAAACACCAGCGGCTCCACACGGGGGAGAAACCCTACAAGTGTGACGTGTGTGGGAAGTGTTTCACTGAGTCCAGCGCCTTGACAGTCCACAGACGTAGACACACGGGTGAGACACCATACCAGTGTGACGTGTGTGGGAAGGGATGTAAAACATTGTCTGAGCTGAGACAGCACCGGCTCCAGCACACTGGAGAGAAACCGTTCTGGTGTCACCAGTGTGACAAACGTTTCGTCGCCAAGCAGAGTCTGCAGAACCACGAGGTCATCCACTCGGACCTGAAACCGTTCATCTGTGGCGAGTGCGGAGCAGCCTTCAAGCTGGCCGTCTCCCTGAGGGGCCACCAGCGGGTTCACGCCGGGTACCAGTGTGACGCCTGCGGGGAGATGTTTGCCACAGCGCTGATCCGAGCCAATCACAAACGTAGCCACAAGTGGCTGGACATGCTGCAGCGCAACGAGCGTTTCCAGAAGCTCCAGATGATGTCCGCCGGACACGGCATGGTTCCAGGACAGACTGGACCACCCGCCGGACCCGGGGATCTAGCTGTGAAAAGAGAATGGACTGAGTCATGATCAGAACTGGCCAGTTGGATCCGGAAGGCTTCATGCCTGCTGTTCGTCAGCCGGACCAACAGGAACCTGAAGGAAGGTCAGACGTCATCTTGTCTTCAGGAAGATTCTACTGGCCTTTACTTGAACTTTAATAATCAGATTTCCTGCTGCAAATATTGAAGTTATATTTCTGTAGTTTTCAGAATAAAGTTTTTGTTGAATCAAACTATTTTCTGTTGAGTCATCACTTCCTGGTGGAGTTTGGATCACTTCCTGCTTTCTGTGGTGCATCATGGTCTTCCTGTTAATGTTTCCTCACTGCTCAGTTCAGTTTCAGTTCTCTGGATCACTTAAGGTGGTCTGCTGGTTTCCTGAATCTCAGTCAGCGCTTCTGGACCTTCAGCTGCTTTCAGGTTTTCATTTCATTTCTTCATTATTGGGTTTTAGTTGGACTGATGGAAATGGAGCAGATTTAACGTCCTGCGTTATTTAAGCATTTTTACTGAAACATTTACAGATTTTTCTTTTTTTGAGTAGTTGCATTTACTTTACTTTTCAAATACAATTATTTCAATAAAGAATCAAGTAAAGGTCTGGATGAACCCAGAATCTGGTTATTTCTTCTAAATCCAACAATGTTTCATTAAAAAAATGAGCAAACAGAATTATCTGAAAGCATTAAAATGTTTGAGTTTAATCTCTTCTTGAGTGCAACATGGGTTGACCTTCTGTAGCTTATCTCTGCCACTAGGGGGCGCCACACACCTGCAAAATGTTTGTTGCTGTTGGACATTTTTTCTACCAGAATAAATAATTTCTTCTTGGAATATTTAACTTTTTAGATTTTTGAGTTTCTAATTTATATGATAATTTAAATCATCTGAAAATATTTTTTCTCCAACTCAACAATTTCTATTCACCTCAGAAATCTAACTGATTTAAAAAAAAATCATATTTTCATGAACTCCATCATATGTGATGTTTATTACAGGAGGGAGACATTGTGAAACAATAACCTAGAAGCTCTAAATGTTTATTAATTCGTGGAGGTCTGTCCAGCTCCCTCGATGCAGGATTTTGGTCCAGTCCCAGAGGACTTCCTCTGAGCTTCCAGCAGGGGGCATCTCCTCACTTGTCAGCATCCTTCACCTTGCTGTCGTATGTTCCGGCGTCCTTGTACGCGTTCACGTAGCCCGTGTGCTCCACCAGGTCTTCGCGGCCTTCGCGACCTTTGCCCCGGCCACTGTCGTCGAAGCGCTCCTTGTGGGACCCGGTGTAGCGGGACGTGTCAGTCAGACGGTCCACCGTTGCCGTCTTCGCCACTTTCTGAGGGACACAGAGAGGACAGGAAGGAAATTGGGGGACAAGTGAAGCTACTTCCTGTCTGCTCAGCAGAATGGGTCAGAAAAGTTAGGAGTTCCTGACTTTAAGATGAATTTGATCAGAAAGATTTAGTTAAAAATCAAGATTTCACAAACACTTCAATACTCATGATTCTAAGTGGAAGACATATTATGAAGAACCCAATCCAACAGCGAATGACTGTTTGGTTAAACAGCAGCAACTAAAGTCAGTCAGTTGGAGGATCTTACGATCCCCAGAACAGAAAAGTAGCATCGTCTCTTCCGACATTATTGGGTCTCCCAGTTTAACGTAAATAGAAAAGGTCTGCAGGCTGGCATTAAGGGACACCAGACAAACTTAACGCCCGGCTCACACGGTTCACATCATCCCCATTTCCTCCTTCCACCATCTCAAAGCCGCTCCAATTATCAGTTTTAAAGTTAGTATGAGGAGATTTTCCTGCCGTGTGTTGAGAGTTTCACT